CTTCAGCAGTTTAAATAATTGTTTCACCTGTGCTGTATTCTAGTGTGTTAATTCCCATTGCTATAATAAAAACATTTTCCTATGAGAAATCACTATACCAAAGAACTAATGGTGTTTGACTGGTTTCTAATGTTATCTTTCTCTGGGAGTTTGATAAAAATAAGAGATTCAGAACACTAACAGGATTCCTCATTCCAGAGATAATCTTTTAATAAGTATTAATATTAATAAATCATTTCAGTTTTAGAAATAAAGTAGACTGTCCATTTTCAGTGTGCATGAAGCAAGCCTGAAAAACACAGAAGTGACAGAACAAGCAGACTTCTCATTATTATATATATTTTTTAATTTTAACCTTCACTAAACCTGACAGGATCTCTGTGAATTTCATACTTAGTCTGTTGCAAGCTGTTCAAAATTGCAAATACAAATTCTGAGCTTTCCAAAGCAATAACATTCGAATCCAGTGATTAGTCTTGCTGTTATTGGGGTGTAGGTTTAAATTAAAATAAAATTAAATTAAATTAAAAAAGTAAATTAAAATAAATTAAAAAAATAATTAAATTAAAAAAAATAATTAATTAATTTAAAAAATAGGAAAAACAAACAAACTCTCCTCCTTTTCACAATGGTTTAACTACCCTGCAAAATATAATATCATAAGCTGCTTTCTGTAAGGAAATAAAATTTCTACTGGAGGATATGAAGGATATCTTTTTATTCTTACTTGGTGTCGTCAGTGCCTTAGTGCACAGTACAGGGTAAAAGCAGTCTCTTAAGACAGGAATTATGGTGTTCACCATTGACCAGCGTTTTAGACTCCTGGATTCCAGAACAGAGTCTGATTACAGGGTAATACATTCCACAAGGATATGGTTTATGGCCAAATGTAAGCCAGATGTTAGCTGTGAACTGCCTATGAACTTTACTGCACCTATGTGCCTTTTTCTTTTAATGGCATCAGATGTACAATGTTCTGCTACGGTGATGCGTGACTTCCAGACCAGGCTGGCTCACAACTGCACTCTTCAGAGAAAGCATTAAGCCTGTGGCTGTCTGCCACATTGAGATCAGCCAAACCCCACCAAACAATAATTCTCAAAATGAACTGGACAGAAATTTAAAGACTGGGATATTTGGGTAAAATAAATAAATAAATATAGCAAGGTCTTTCTCATACTATATACATTTGTACTCACTCTTAATGAAGTGTCAAGGATAAATGTAGGGTAATGTGTACAGCATTTTCAAAATTACAGACCTACAGTCTAACATATTAATGGGAATGCCTTGATTGTGTGTTTTAGGGTTAATTATCGTCAGGTCTGAGAACAGAGATAACATCTTCCAATCAATCACAGCTTTCCTGGATATAAACAAAATAGGAAATAGCTGTCTTGAAAACACAGAGGACTGGGGTAGCTTAAATGAAGACAGTATATACTTTTTCTGTGCTTATAATAATAATAATAATAATAATAATAATAATAATAATAATAATAATAATAATAATAATAATAATAGGCAAATGAATTTAAAAAAATAAATAAAATCATATGCAAATGCAATGCAAGTATCTTTATTTAGTAAGGTAACAAATAACCAAAAATGTTTTCTTTTTATTAAATATGCTGTAAGTTACTGTGTTTTTACATTTTAAAAATAATTCTCTGAGGTTTTATGCAATTAGATTCAAGAAATGGAAGGAAATAACATTACCCTTGTTTATTGAAATCATTATACCAAAACCTTGCATTTTGTATGTTTATCTACAGATGTGGAGAGTGAAATTGTGCTAAGTGTTCCTTTCCACAGGTGTCTGGGTAGTTGGAATCCAAGAAACCTATATGCATGTCTTTGAGGAATGATAATACCAGTAGAAATTTCAATAGTAAATACATCTACACTCTAAACCAGAGCAAAACAGATCTCCAGTCAAGGTTATCCTCCTGGCAGACTAGTATGCAAGCGGCCTCCTGCACATACTGATTTAGGCCTGTTGCATCTGAGCCAAGTATAGAGGTTTCAAGGGCCCTGAGTGGGGCCTTCATTACCCTGACCAGCCCCACACATGAACCTCACCCAGGCACCTTCTGTCCACAGCTAAGATGTTCTCTTTAAGCTTAGCCATGGAACCTGAGCTATGTTTATAAAATCCTAGAATCATTAAGGTTGGAAAAGACCTCCCAAACCACCTGGTCCAACCATCCCCCTACCACCAATATCACCCACTAAACCATGTGCCTAAGTACATCCATTTCCTTAAATGCCCCCAGGGACAGTGACTCCATCACTTCCCTGGACAACCCATTCCAATGCCTAACCGATGTTCCAGGCTTGTCTTCAGCCCTGGCCTTTGGTAGTCCTGAATTATTGACTTGATTTCAGAAGCTGTTTTCCACCTCTTTATTTCTGTGATGATAGTTGTACTGGATTCTTTTCTGGTGTTTGTTTGATATCTTTGCCTTTTTAAACAATAAGTCAAAAATATTTGTTAGTTTTCTGTCATTTTTATTTCAGGGAAAAATCTGTTGCAGTATTTTTTTAAAATACAGCACATTCCTGGATGAAACTTTACTGTCTCTCAAAGTCCTACTCAATTAAAGTTTAACCGATTTAGGTTACTTTTGTTTTTATCGTTTTGCCTCTGTATGAGCAAAGTCTTCATGACACATAATTATTTATTAGGAAATAATTAAAGAATCAACATGTAGGGCTTGCTTCTCACAGCCCTATATTGCTGAGATATGGAACAGTGAACAAAGAAAAACAAAAAATATTTTATATTAAAGATAGAAATGTGCCTGAAAATAGGCCTAAAAGAATGTCCCCCCATATATACATGATTTTTAGGAAGATATAATAAATATCTGTGTGGGGCATTTGATCTCAAATGGAACATGGTGAGTTCCAGATATTTCTCCTTCCAGATATTTCTGATTGTCAATGAAGTTTCATATCTCTTTCTTAATGAGGGGTAAGTGACAGAAAGTTAACCTCTTCTTATGAGGAAAAAAGAATTATGAGGTAGCCCTGTGAATTTTTCCACTTCTGTCCAATAACTTTAGACTCTGTCAGTCAATTTCAGCTAAAATTAATAGTTCCTTCAGGAAGGAGGAGGATGCAGGGAGCATTAGATGCATCAGAGTGATTAGGTTTTCTAAAGTTCTTCCACTATTTGTTTTGCTTTGTAATTTAAGGGGTTGAATTAGGCTTGGACTGTATTGTGGCTGACAAGTATATACATATACCATAAAATAATATAGAATATAAGTCACTGTTCTCTCAGGAGATGGTAAGAAGCATCACCCAAGAAAAGCTCACCCGTTTGACCGCTGAGTTCTTCTCAGCATTGCAGTTCATGATTATGGAGCTGCATTTTTAATCCCTATTATTTATTAAATTGTCTGATCATTTTTTAAAAATTGTAATTATATTGTTTGCCTCTACAACATACTATAGCAACAGAATCCAACTACTCATAGTATTTTAAAAATCTGTATTTTTTTCTGTTTTATACCAGTCTCCACTAGTTTCAGTGAGCAATGGTACCTTCAGTGCTGCAGTTCATCTGCACTGTAGTTCACCTGCCATCTTGTCCTGCTCTAGATATTCATGCCCTGTAACTGGTGCAGATCTGTATCTCTTCCTTCTCAAACACATCCAAAAGGGCATATCATCCCCAAGGAAATTGCTTCCCTTTTCATTTTGCTACCATGATGAAGTACAAAATCACCTCATGCCCAGTCACATACACAAGGGAATATGGAAAAAGAGAATCAGGTCTTTAAGAGAAGAGACAAATGAGACATGACTGGAGTTTGTGGCAGTATAAGTTAAGTGATTTTTTCAAAATTAAACCTCAAGAGATGGCAATCCAAGTGTCCTCATTTCCTATCTCATTGTTTTACCTCATAGGCCAATGTCACTTTGGCTGCGCAGTTTTCTTCTACATCACACTATCTTGAATTCTCTTGCACAAAAAGTTTCTTAGAAAAAAAATTAGCTTTTGTTTCTTTTGTTTGTTTGTTTATTTTTTTATTAGGCAAGAATATCAGACTTATTTATTTATTTTATTTGTCCTTAAATCTCTTATTTTCTTGACTAGGAGATTTTTAGCAGCATATAGATCAGTTCAGATCAACTACACAGAGGGAGGATCCTCTTGAATTAGATCTCATAAAACACTCTCTACACAGAGACATACCATCAGGTATAAATTAACATTTTATTGCACCATTGCTCTAAACTATACTGGAATATTTTGGCTGAAGCTGAGTAACACTAAAAAAAGACACCTTTTCTAACTGTATAACAACTTTCATATTTTTGTTAAATAAACAAATAAATTAAAATATTTTAGAAATGAAAGGAAACTTTTTTTTTTTTTAATTTTTATTTATAGATCAAATGTAGAATCTTTTAAGGAGTGAATTATCTGCCTTCTGGATAAAACAAACAAAATTTAAATTAAATATTGTAAGTAATTTTTTCCTATACTTTGTAAACAATTATATATTATATATATTATATATATATATATATAATTGTTATATATATATATAATATATATATATATATATATATTATATAATTGTTATATATATATAACAATTATATATTTAGTCAAGTGCCATTTCCTGATATTGATTTACTTTTTCTACTTCCTATATTCCAAGCAAGAAAATAGCATTTTGATGTACTGGTGAATAAGACACTGCGTGACAATTCAAGAGATCCAGGAGGGATCTTATGTAAGCCCAACCACTGCTTAATTCTGAATTTCCTTTTTTTTTTTTTTTTTTTTTTCTGAGAGTACCTGATCTTAATCAAGATTTGAAGATTGATTAACAACCTATGCTAGAAGCTATGCTGACTTGCAGCAACAGAATCAAACATTGAACTTCATTACAAGGAAGTAGCACTATCTTTTTGAAGTGTGTGATTTGGAGATTCTCCTCAGCTGCTGACTCTGATCTTCTCCCCAGCTTCTAGTCGTCTGGCATCAGGGTGTAGAGAGCTACAGGAGTGTAGCTCCACCTAAAGTCCCTTTCCCTTCTTTCCCTTCTTTCCCTTCTTTCCCTTCTTTCCCTCTTTTATAGGGTACCCCTTTCTGAGTTTATTTTTCTTACTCTTGAATAATTTACTTTCTAACACTTGTCTGTGTACTACTCCTAAACACTTAAAAGTTGCAGCTTTTGCTCCTTATTGTTCACATTAAGACAATTTAATTAGCTGACCTTTCTACTTTCCTCTAAGAAAACAACATTAAGTGTTCTAATTATTTAGGTATTTCTAACATTTTTGCAACCACTTATTGATTCCAATTAGTCTTTCTTTCTGTCTAGTTTTAATTTCTATTAGATTTATCTCTAGCTTTAAGTTGTTTTGTTTATACATTTATCCACAAAAGATTTCTGATTTTATTGTTGTTTCCTCCTGCGCTCTGAGTCACCTTCTTCTGAGCAAGTTGCCTGTAGAAAACTCTCTTCCTGACTTCAATGAGTGGGGTGTTGAAACCGCACTTTGGGCAGAACTTAGGTGAATTCTTCCAGAAAATCTCATCTCCATTAACTGCATGAAACCAAAATTCATTTTCTTTCCACATTTTTCTTCTTGATCTCCATTCTTCTGCTGCTTATTAATCTGCTTTGCACATTCTTCAGGCTTTATGAAATTGGGGGCTTTGTGTTAAGAATTATGGGAATACAATGCAAACTATATTATTGGACAAACACCTGTGATGTGAAAGGACATAAAATGGGCACATCTAATGCTGATCATGATTAAGGTGGGTTGCTGCTCTCTAAGGTACTCAGTTATTTACAACACTGCTTTGAGCTGTTCACAATATCATTGAATATTGAATATATTAATTGATGAGAATATCAAGGTATTTCAACTCCAAGCCTAATATATTTAAATCACTATGTAACTTCTCCCTTCCCCCTGCCCTGTACAAAGTGACATTAAATAATTCAGGTGATCTATAACATTATAACATAAGGCAAACAGAACCTCACCTAAAACATCAAACTTATCCCTAGAATTTCCTGTGTGATATTCAAATAACTTCTAAAAATTTTGTTATTTAAAATTTAATAAATAGAATTATTATTTTTTCCCCCAAAAATGACATTTCTATATCTTCCATTAAGCAAAAAGCTTGACAGAATGTCAGGAATGATTGCCATTTTAGTGAGCACAAATGGAAAACTTTGCTTTGCATTTGGAATCCTTTTCTCCACTGAGCAAAGTCAAACAAATTTTATGCTTAAAAAAATAAATAAATAAAATCAGTTTAAATACTGAACACATACAAATGTGTTCAAAATGTGTGCCAAATCAGGATTTTATTATTATTATTATTATTATTATTATTTAATTTGTAAGTTGTGGAGAAAGTATTTGTCTTTAGACAAGAATCCCTTAAAAGATAAAAAGGTTTGTTTGCTAAGAGACTGCTTCCTCAACATTCTACAATCAAGTACACCAAGCCCAACAGGAGATAAGCCAACATTCACCAGTTATAATGAAATTTACCTTGCTTAATAGGACTGGAAGAGATTCCCAGGACACCAGACACCCTATCAGGGAGTTTAGGGTAAATGACAGTGACACAACAGTAACATCTGAAGGACATCTGCTTCTGACAAGGATGCTCATCTTCCTGCAGTGATTGCACTTGTTCATGCTTGAGAGAGTAAAGTGGAAGCTGAACGACCTCTGGTTTAGATTTTAATTGCAAGAAGGTGAGGGTTGGATGGGTTGGATGACAGAAGATAAAATTGTATTTTAGCATCGAGGTTATCCTGGAGTAACTTTCAAGAAGTACTTACTAGATTCCTCAGGGGGACAGAGAGTGAAAGAATAGATTGAAGGAAAGTAAATCACATAAGCATCTTTAAGATGGTAACAGTTTTCTGATACAGTGTATGGAATTATTACTGGTGTTAATATTTTGTTGACTCGTCTGTGACATTATCCACAATACAAATAATTAATAGGATTACATTCTTCCAGTAAAAGATATGAATGGTGTATCAGAGTTTGAGGAGAGAAGGAACACATCTGTAGGGACAGAAAAGTTGCCTTTCTTGTTAAAATGCTTGTACACTAATGTAATGGGGTAGGTGGTAGTACTCTGCAGGAATTTTCATGTGAGATATATGTGGTTTTATGTTGTCCTGTTGTACAGTAATATAGGAAGAAACTAAGAATTTAATGTATCTTGGTGTTGATTTTGGATACTATAACTACTATGAGAAGAAACATAAATATTCATTGTTATGGAAATTGAGCATGAGTCCACATCCTGGTTATGTTTTGCTTGTATTTAAGACACGCAAATAAAACCATAAGAACAATTCTAAAACAATAAATACACCCAACTCTCTTCTGGTAGCAATGCTCCCCTTTTGAAAAGGGGAGGACAGCAGGCTCCCTGTATATAGAAATGTATGTTTTGCATTTTATTTCCTTGATGTTGTAGAAATGGATCTTTGGAGAACAGCAAACTCTCTTGACAATCATTTAAGAAAAACATTTTTTCCCTTCCCCTTTGAAATGTTGTTTTAAATTAGGAACAACAGTACTGATGCCTGTGAAGGCATTCTCCTTGCAGATATGTGCATATTCTGCATTGTGACTGAGGCAAGATGGGCTAAGCCTTCTTTTTGCCCAAACAGACACATTTGACCATGTTTATTTTGATAATTTACTTCTCCTCCTCCTCTTCTGAGGTGTCCTTAACTACATATGATTTTCCATATGCTTACTTCTGAGAGAAGAATTTCTGCACTGCCTATAGGATGCTGAGGCATAGAAATGCTGCAGATTTGCCCAATAACACATCACAAAGTAATATGAAGAATAGGAAAATAATTTAACCACTTTGACTTTCCAAGCTCTTTGTAAGTACCATTAGCATATTTCCGAGCTGTTTCAAAAATAATACAGGTTTTAACTTGTGACATTCATTTTGATGTTTTATTTTATCCTCACTAGCTAAGATCATTATAACCTTGCTCAACCCTATATGATAGAGAATTTAATATTTTATTTTTAATATTTGCCTGCAGAAGAAAGATTCCCATTCTTGCAGGAAGTTTTTAGGTAGTATGAATCATTCAGTTGCTTTTTAGAATACACTCAATTTCTAAACATCATATTATCTTTGCTTAATTCTATATAAAATCTCCAGCCCAGGTTAAGACAAAAGGAGGGAAAAAAATAAAAATAAAAAAAAATCTGGCCAAAACAACTGATAAAACTACAGATAAACAATAATGATTTTTGTCTCTCCTACTTTAACTTATCTTCATACAACACCCTTGCTGTTTAAAACAAACAAAAAAAACCAACAACAATAATAATAATAATAATAAAAAAAAAAACATGCAAACAACAAACAAACAAAAACCTATAATAACAGAATTCACTGTAAGGGTGAGCTTTTTAACAAACAAATCCTGTCCATATGGTTGTCAGAGAAATTATCTTAAACATGGAGACAAGAAAGAACTCCTTGTCAAGCAAGACAATTACACTAAAACATCTGAATCAGTCAACTGCATAATGAATGTAAAGGAAAGCAGCTTAACATTCTGTTAGACAAATGTCTTATTGACCACAACCACAGCTGCTGTTGCTATTGTTGGCTAGCAGGAAGGCTGGAGTCACTGAAGATTTCCCTGGTGTTTGAAGCATCCTGAATCTCTGATTCTCCCAACCCTTATATTTATTGAAAAACTGTATCCTTGCTTGTGCAGGGTAAAGGGATGTTATAGGAGAATACTCACCTGGCATAACTACAGCTTGAAACACCTGCAGCTAATAAAGCAGATGTCCCTATACTCACCATACTCACTCCCCATACTTTGAATTGTTTTAATTGTTTTTGGACCATAGCTGTTGGTTGCAACTTACTCCTGAGGTTCATTTTACAGGGTGCTTTCTGCATTACTAGGCAATTCTGAAAACAGATCAGAGGACTGAGGTACAATTCAATAAGTAAATTGAATATTCTGCCCTATCTATCAGTCTTGGTTCACTTCAATTAAAATAAATAAATAAATAAATACAATTTTAGTAACTGTATTATAAGCATTAGCACTTCGGAGACAATTCCTAAGCAAAGCAAAGGGAAACAAGAAAAAGGGAAACAAGAAAAAACATTCTCTTGTATGAAACAAGAGAATGAGAATCTGGAAGGAAATAGCAGATATGTTTGTGTTCATTACATATCATTTCAGCTGAAAATCCCCTTTTAAAGGATAGAGACTCCTCCTTCAGAGAATAAACTGCACTTCAAATGCAGTAGGATTTCACAAATATTTCACTATTTGCCAGCTTTTTGGTGCCAGAGTTATTTCTGCAGGTTGGTATTGTTTCATAACACATGTGCAACTGAGCACATACTGTTGTAAATGATGATCATGATTAATGCAGTAAGTCTTTATTTTTAGTGCTTGGAGTAGTACCACAGTAGTAATTTTGCTAAAAGTGATGAGCATATGACTGTTAGGCCTCTCTTATGTAGAGTATTAGATTGAACGCGGAAGGGCATGTACTTATGGCATCTCTCATGACCATTAGTGTATACATGAGGTCAAGAAAACATTTGAATACTCTGCCATCCAAGACTGCCAGAATGTGACTTCCAGACAGGGGAATCAGAGAGGTGCTTCTCAAGCTGCTGACTATGATTTTTCCATTAATTGTATAGGGACATTAGGTAGTATGAATGCTCAGTTTATCACTGCTATGTAAAATGCAGATACTATGGTACGTGCACATACCACCACTAAGTCATGCTATCAGTTTGTATGAAATTCTATTATGTTCATTTTCACTAACAAAGGGTGGACCACTTCACTGGGAGGAGAAAGGGAGCTATGCATCACTGTTTAACAAAGGCAAGAGGCTCAAAAACAGTCTATGATGTTGATTAGTATGGGCCATAATTTGTTGTACTGTCAAAGAGTCAGCATGCCAGTTGTGGGAAATGATGAGCAATCTTAAAAATGATTGTAAATTGCATCTCACTGATTGGCAAAGTAATCAGCCGAAGCTGAAGGAATCAACACTGGGCATGCAGAGCACCTTCTACCATCAGGTTGTGCAGCCACAGCAAGTTCAACAAAATGGCAGATTGGTGTGCAAAAGAGCACAGACTTGACAGTAAGCCCCATGCAAACACTTCACTTAAGTATCATCGGGCATTTTGTTTCCTCTGTTACTTGTTCTTGGCTAGTATCCAGCCACTCAGAGCCTCTTCAAATGCCTGCTTGTGCACTTTATACAGCAATTTTGTTTTATTGGACATTCATTACAGTGCCCAGTTTCTGTGTAAAATTGCCATGTACTTATTAGGAGAGATGTTGGCACAAGAACTATGCTTTTTTTTTTTTTTTTTTTTTCCTCAAGAGGTTTCTCTGCTCTTTCACTTGCCTGTTGAGTGACCACTAATGTGGATGAAAAGTATGGATTTCTGGGAAACAGCTAGGAAACAGTTCTCTGCCAGAGTAATGATTCTATTAAGTTTATTTTGATTAGTTTTACATAGTTGGTTAAACATGAGTAGACTCAGCAAAATAATTATATTGGTAAGATAAGTTCTGTGGGTGTAGTATATATGGATAAAATATGTAATCTCTACATTATATACAACATTTATGGTACATGCTTACACTTTTTGTGAAGGGCCTTCCTAGACAATGTGATTCTTTTATAATAGGAAATGAGTTAAAATTAAGTGAAGCTTGGTATGTAGAGATCTTGAAATGTTAATTTTACCAACTAGCATCTTTCCCAGACTGAAAAATAAGGGAAGTGATTAATCCCTTAGAAACAGACCACTGGAACCACTTCATGAATCTCAGACTTTTTTTTTTTTAATGTGAATGTGCAGAATTTGTTTAGTGCTGCTGCAATTATTTATGTGGGAAGATGCAGACAATACGTGCAAGAAGACAGAAAGCTTTGGCTTGAGCTATTCAGGCCATGGTGCAGAATGGCACAGTTACATGCACTGCTCAGGACTAGATCCTTGTGGAGCACCAAGTATGTATTCACAGTACAGAACCTGTCCTGGTCCTCCTCCAAGTCTCACTAAGTGCTCTTGAAAAGTATATCTTCATTTTTTTTTGATTCAAAGTGCAAAAAGGTTGTCTCTGCCAGAAGTGCCAGATCTGGCAAGAGACAAGGGTATGTATTGCATGTTTTAGAGTGTGCCAACAGCTGAATGGGATTGTTGAGGAGGAAAAAACCCACTGTGGATCATGTTTTTGGGGTGTGGGAAGGAAAGATAACTATCTGAAACACTTCTCTATATTTTATTCTTAGAGGGAAATAGTGGTTTTCTCCAAAGCAAAGCCTGAGAGCTAACCAATACACAAACTGGCGGCCAGGGCTTGAGTGGTGGCCAGGCTTTACCTTCATTAACACAGCAAGAGCAGAGAAGCACTTTGAAGAAATGAATGCCAAAAATATGGACTTCAGACATGTCAGGTGTTTTATCTTAAATTAGCTCTAGTCTACTCTGTGGAAAAAATACCTCCACTATGCATATACCTTGAAACTGTCCATAATAAAAGTATGCCTTCAAATGTCTTCTCTCTGAGCTGTAAACCTTTCAACAGACCATCTTCAGAAGTGCCATTCTGAGCTATCATCTGTCTCATGAAGATGATGGTAGGACCATCAGCTCTGAGCAAAAATCTGCCCTGACCTAGTACCTAGATTTTGACTGAAACACATAATTCAGAGAGATATCCTGTTCTGATATTCAATAGCCCCCAGTCCCATGCTGCAAAGTATCTTCATAGCCAAGCATTTTTTCTTTATGGAGAAGCATCCCTTCACCTATCTATGAAGCAGTTGGCTGCCACTCTCTTTCCTTGCCTGTGTAAGGGTGAAACGCAATTAATTGTTCAGTGATGGACTGCACACTGGGACTGTCACGATCAGCTTCTTCTTTCTCCAGTTGCCCTTCAATTTGTCCCAGAGGACACTCCTGATGCAAGGGCACTTGGTTTCAGAGAACAGCCAAACACCTGAAAGCAAACAACACATGAAGATAAACAACCATACACCTGCAAAATGAATTTATTTGGTAGAATGTTACTCCCTGAGAGAGCAGTCATGGGAGAGCAGTCACTTTTAGGGAGATGAACATGGAGAGATATTAGGAGACTGAAACAGCATCTAGAACTTTGGGCAGAGAAAAATAAGAAAGGTGGGAGGTGATAGGTTTAATTTTCAGGGCTCCTTAATATAAAAAAGATGTTAAGATACTTGAATACATCCAAAAGAGGGCGACAAAGCTGGTAAAAGGGCTGGAAGATATGTCCTATGAAGAAAATCATAGAATCATAGAATATCCCAAGTTGGAAGGGACCCACAAGGCTCATCAGTTCCTGGGTCCACACAGGACCACCCAGAAATCAGATAATATGTCTGAGAGTGTAGTCCAAATGCTTCTTGAACCCCATCAAGCTCGGTGTTGTGACCACTTCCCTGGGGAACCTGTCCCAGTGCCTGACCTCCTATTTGGCAAAGAACCTTTTCCTGATATCCAGACTGAATCTCCCCTGTCACAGTTTCATGCCATTAAGAGGCATGAGGAGAGAAACTGAGGACACTTGGCTTGTCCAGTCTGGAGAAGAGGAGGCTGAGAGGTGACTTCATTACTCTCTTCAGCTTCCTGAGGAGGAGAAGTAGAGGGAGGTCTCTTCTCCATGGCAACCAGGGAAGGTTCAGATGAGACATTAGGAAAATTTCTTTACATTGAGGATGGCCAAACACTGGAACAAGCTTCCTAGTGAGGCGGTTGATGCCCCATGCCTGTTAATGTTCAAGAAGAATTTCAATAATGCCCTCAGTAATATGCTTTAATTTTTGCTAACCTTGAACTGGTCGACCAGTTGGTTCCCTGCCAATAACCCGTTCAAGGTCTCTGTAGCAAGGGCTGCCTTCTCACTCCAGAGTCTGGTAGTTATAAATTTTGTTAAATGTGGCCTTTATCTTCTTGTATCAGAAACAGTGTGACCAGCAGGGCTAGGGAGGTGATCATCCCCCTGTACTCGGCTCTGGTGAGGCCGCACCTCGAGTACTGTGTTCAGTTTTGGGCCCCTCGCTACAAGAAGGACATCGAGGTGCTTGAGCGGGTCCAGAGAAGGGCAAC